CCCGACTCAGGCCTCCGCCCTCACCTCCGCCTCTCCTGCTCCACCGTGGGGTCGTGCACAGAGCTGGCCGGAGAGTTCTGTGCTCCGGGTCTGCCCTCCTGCGACCCCGAGGACGCCGCCCTGCGCTGGCTCAGCTAAACGGTGCTCCAGCACGAAAATGACCATTTCACTGGACATGCATGTTTCAGCTTAGCCAAGATGTGCACGTCTTTTTTTGGTTTACTCTTACTGTAACCCATACAATTGGATGCAAAGAAAGGCCTCTCCTTGCCCCATTTTTTTGAAACGAGGATTAATATACTACGGACAGTCTCCCATCACTTTATTCCACAATTTCAGGTTGAGTTACATAGACTGTTACCTTTTCTTTTCGGTTGGGCACATTCAAAGAGCAAGTGTCCCTTTCTTTCATTCCAAAACGAAACAGCCACCGAGAATGAGAAGATAAGCTGGCTTGGGTGTTCATCTGTGGTCGAATTCTACCACTGCAAACTAATACTGCTCTGCTTTACGTTGGCAGTTTGTTTTTTTTTAGTCCAGTGATTATTCAAAATACACTTGGACAAATTTGTTAAGGTAACAGCAAGTGTTATTTTAAAATCTTTTCCATTTCTGCTTTTATGCATATGTATTTCCCTTCTGAAAGGTAACGTTAATAGGTTTTGTTTTGGTTTTGGGTTTTTTTGTTTTGGGGTTTTTTTTTGTTTTTTTGTTTTTGTTTTTTTTTTTTTTTTTGGTACTGCCTTTCTACCACTACTTGGTAAAACGCTAGTTCTTATTTTTAGGGCCTTGAAGTGACAAATATACAAAATTGCAGTCTGCTAATGAAATACTTTGTTCAGACCAATAATATAAATGTAAGTTAACAGAATAATTCTTCAAATACCATACAATGTATTTTTAATTAATGATTAACTAACAGGCCTGCAATTGTCTTTCTTTACAAGGATCACAACTAACAAGGTTGCTATGTTCTCCCTGTTATCTAAGCTGTTTTTCTCAAACAGATCCTCATAAGCAAAATTTAATCTGAGTTTTATGACTTGTTTGGATTTTAAAAATGTAGGAAGGAGTTTCATTCTAACCAATTTCTCCTTTGCGCAATGATTCACCCTGATTTTCCAGTTTTGACGATTGTTGAACAGAAAGTAACTTGCAGAGTTCACCTAAATTTTTTGACTGATTCATGTCCTGGTGACTTGGGGAAATTGCTTAAGGAAGTTGGCATTGCTCCAAAGTACTGATGGAAAAAAAAATAACTCTCTCATAATCATGCTTTGGAAGGCTCACTGTATGCTCAGTCCTGAAGAAGAGGGAAGTTCAGTTAAGTTGGGGCTATACTTGCATCGAACAGAAAGTATTTATCTTCTGCCAGTACTGTAGTTTGACTTAAATGCTGCAAGGGCTTTGTGTGCATTGCTCAGCTCTAGCCTCAAATACATCCCCGTTTTTCTTCAGCTATTGTGTCTACAGTTATTGAACATTTGCCAGTGCTGTCATGATAATAATACCTTAGGTTTATATAATGGTTCACAGTTTTCAAAGAATATTTATAGACTTATTTGAGTATCAACAAATCACAGGCTAAACAACATACTATCATATTTTATTTCCTTATGTGAAGAGATTTGGAAACTGAGGCATAGAGAAGAGAAGTCAGCAGGTTTCAAGGCTAATGGGATCTCTTCAAATGGGATCTCTCTGCTTGTGCAGTCAAAATGGCAGAATGTGGCCACCCTGCATTTTCCAAATTGATAGTCACAGCCCTAGCCACATGCAGGGATTAAATAGTTTTTCTAAATCCAAGGTAAAAATCCCTGAGAGAAAATGAATGACCCTGCTTGGCTCATGTATCAAATAATTCTTGGCTAAGCTGGCTGGTTTACCCAATATACACTGCCCAAAAGGCAGTTACCACAGAAGGGAAGATAAATCTTAGGTTTGGGAAACAGACTTAGACTTCCTACTTTTTACAATATGGTAGAGCTGATGTTTAGAACCTAAGTTAGTGATCAAAAAACACAAATGCATGCAGAGAGCAGCCAAATCACATAAATGAATTAAGCTGACAAATGGAGATGGTGGTGGCATCCAAATGGAGTACAGGCTCCATCTAAATGGAGCTGCTACTACTTGACTCCTGCTGACCGATGCCCTGTGGGAATGCAAGCCCAGAGTAATCAATCTTCCAGTTTTCAAGTGAGATCAGAAATTGGGATTTTATGTAAAATCTTTATTTAAATTGCATGAGAAAACAAAACTAAAAAAATAAAATACCTGCAGGTCGGATTTGACATGTAGACTGGTAGTTTAGGACTTCTGTCTTATCTTCTGTCTGATCAGTTGTCAAATAATGGCATTTAAAAATCACACCCTCGGGATGGACTTAGAACCTATAATACTGAGTGATCTATCACAGAAACAAAGAACTGAGTACCACATGTTCTCACTCATTAGCGGACCTCAAACAGTTATCATAATACTACTATAAGAAAGGGATTGGCAGTAGTGGGAAACTGCCAGGGGAGGGAGGGGCACACCTCATCAACCAGGGTACCTGCATAATGAACATTTGTATACCTAACTCTGAATTTTACCCCACATCTTCAAAATTTAAAAAAAATTTAAATAAAAATACAAATCACACAGTCCATGAAGTCTTTATACAATAGAAGAGAACATGATGTGTATAACATTAATAGGAGCAGTATACATGTTGGTATATAGTGCATGTACACATAAAACTAAGGCATCATTAATCCATCCTGTCTGATTTGGAACCTGTTGATAGAAGATAATCACTTCTTTACTTTGTGAGATAATTAGAAAGAGCTGCACTATTTGCTCTAGGCTTTCTAGAAACCTTGCTGTGGGATAAATAACCATAGAAGTTATATGGCCATGAACAAAAATATTAAACCTCTCTGAGATTCAATTTTCTCTCATGTCATATGTCACACCTATGTCTCATGGTTGTCATGAAAATTGTGAGTTATGACTTTTTGAAGCTCTAACGTATATTAGATGCTCAATGTATATTAGGCTTCATTTCTATTAGAATTTAGTCTAACATGATACATTATAATACAATAGGTTTCAAAATAACAAGTAATTTAAAACAGAAAATAAAGTTAGCCTGAATTTCCAAACATCAAAAGCTATGTCCAAAGTTAATTTCTTATATAGATTCATAAAACTACAATATCACTATTACTTGCTGTGTTTAACATAACACATTCTTAGATTTATAAAGCATCAATTAAAAAAATAACTCTGGGTCATAAAAAATGAGGATCAGGTATTAAGCAATACACTTTAACTGAAATTAATGTTTCTTATGTGCATGTAATTATAACTTCCAACAATTCATAATAAACACCTGGCAAGCTTGCTGAAAACTTTTAACAAAATAGAATATATAACAAGATTATTTCATTCCCATCAAGCTTTGTGGTGCTTGAGAAAACAGAACAAAGAGTCTGAGTTAAAAATTAGCTCAAGCAAATTATATTTCTTTATTACTCTCCGAAGTGAAATCTAGACTGAAGTAATCTTAATAAATGATATGGTACTTTCTAATGAAAGAAACAAGGAGCGCTTTAGTTCAAAAGAGTTGTTGATGGTGATAAAGGTTGCATATTGGAATCAAAGTGCAGGAAAGCACAAAGCAACCAGCTTTTTAATGTATTATTTATAGTGAGATTTTCACCCTGGGTTGGAGAAGTGCCTTAGCAACAGCTTCTTGAATCTCTTTCTCATTATCTCTAACATCTCCTGTGGGGTAGGATGGTTTAAATGGCTAATGGGAATAGATGCAAATCACTTTGAACATACAGTGTTCTTTCCTTTTTTCCTGATTTCTCTGTCTTTGTTAGTGATGCTAATTAACACCTGAAAACCTCCTCTAACATTTAAACAGCATGTACAGAAGATACTCTCTAATACTCAATCACAAAGCGGGACAACCTTCTATATCCTGTAAGTATTTCTGTAATTACAATAGAGGCGACTCATCCTTTCCATATTAGATAAATGTAGGGCTGCAATCTGCAATCTTGTTGGAGGATGGTTCAAGGAGGACTGTGGAGCTGAGCTTGCATAGCAGGGTTCATGTGTTTGTTTTTTGTTTGGTTGTGTATTTTAATGATGTGGAGTACAGTTCAGATTGAGATATACAACTGGTCATCATACATAAAGTTTGGGCCTTCCTTTGGTCCCCGCTTTGCCTGGTTTGAGATCAGGTACCTTTATTGATTTTATATGCCCTCACTCCCTCCCCTGGCAGTGTCCCACTCGCTACTGCCAATCCCATTCTTACAGTATTATGGTAAATGTTCAGGATCTCCTTATGAATGAGAACATATAGTACTCAGTTCTTTGTTTCTGTGATAGATCACTGAGTATGATAGATTCTAAATCCATCCAAGTTGCTGCAAAGTCCATAATTTTGCTTTTCTTTATGGCTGCATAATATTCCATTGTGTATATATACCACATTTTTTTTCCAGTCCAGTTCCAGTGGGCAGCACAGTTGGTTCTGTTTTTGCTATTGTGAATAACACTGCAGTAAATATGCATGTGCAGGTATCTTTTTTGTAGAGTGATTTAAGTTCCTCTGGGTATATTCCCAGAAGGGAGATTGCTGGGTTGTATGGAAGGTCAATTTTTAATTCTTTTAGGAATTGCCACACTGTTTTCCATAGAGGTTGAACTAGTTTGCATTCCCACCAACAGTGTAGGAGCATTCCCTTTTCTTTGCATCTTTGCAAGCATCTGTTGTTTTTTGTTTTATTGATGATGGTCATTCTTTACTGGAGTTAGGTGTTATCTCAATGTGGTTTTGATTTGCTTTTCTCTGATGACTAGTGAGGCTGAGCATTTTTTCAAGTGTCTGTTGGCTGCCTGTATGTCTTCTTTTGAGAAGTGTCTATTCATGTCTTTTGCCCACTTTTTAATGGCGCTGTTTGTTTTTTT